GAGGGAGAGAGGGAGGGAGGGAGGGAGGGAGGGAGAAACATCTATCAAATTGGAGTAATTTTTACTTACAAAGTCACGGCGAATGCCCGCGCCGCACCTAAAAAGTGCTCCCAAACAGAGCCTAAATCTCTACTCCTTAAATCTCTCTTTTCTTGTTCTTACCCTTTTTTTTTTTTTCGGCTTGGGTTTTAGACGGATCAACACAGGAAAAACTAAGAAAAGCCGGTTTGTATCACGACAATCGTTTTAGACGGATCAACACAGGAAAAACTAAGAAAACCCGGTTTGTCTCACGACATAGCAGACAAATCGTGGCGTTCGATGCAGGCTTCTTCCGTCCGCATGGCATTGGCGAATCGCGGCGTTCGATGCAGGCTTCTTCCGAGGGATTCGTGACGTAGACGGGTTCGCGACAGATCGCGGATTGGCTTCTTGCGACGGGCTTCTGCAAGCAGTTGCAACGATGGTTCTCAGAGGGATTCGCGCGACGTTTGCTTGCAGGCACGGTTCGGCGATAAGAAGTAACATGAGTTCGGAAGGCTGTTTAGAATCGCTACAGAGAATTCTAATTCGCCGGTTTTTTGCTTCAGGGGCGAGACGAAGGATTTGTTGGAAGGAATTTGGGCTAATAATTCGCAACTGAGGCAGAAAAATTAGCATTAGAACTTCAGGACAGTAGTATTTTTAGATGATAATGTCTGGTGCAAAATTCAAAGTGTTGATGTACGATGATACCGAAAATTTTAGCATTGTGATAAACATGGGTGAAAGATTTGTTGGCACAATAAGAAATCTTGAAGGTTTTGCAAGCGCCGTAGTCTATCAATATGAAAGATGAAGAATGTGAATAATTGCAATAACGATCAGCAGTTACCATACATATATGTTTGACAGATGAGATTATGTATCATGTTATAAATTTGGAATTTTCCGGAGAAGCATGAAAGAAATTATAAACTTAGTTTATGACCAGAGCTTGAAATAATAAAATTTATCTGGAGCAAAAGTTGTATGAACTGAAGATGCAAGAAGAATTTAATCTGACGCAACACGTGAATGTCTGCAATCAAATAATCACAAATTTATCATGACTTGATGTGGGTATTGAGAATGAAGACCAAACAATGATTATATTGTGTTCATTGCCCACCTCATATGAACATCTGGTGACTACTCTTACATGTGAGAAAGACACAATAAAAGTTGAGATTACTGCAATATTGTTGGCTCACAAACAGCGGAAGTCATATGCTGGAGAAAACTATCATGGTGATAGTTTATATGTTAAAGGTAATCAGAATCACGGAAGGATGAAAGCGTGAGGGTTCTAAAAAATTAAATTTCAGATCAATGTCTAAAGACAGAAAGATAATTCATTACTATAAGTGTAAGGAGCCGGGTCATATGAAAAAGTATTGTCCAAAGTTCAAGAAATAGACTGATGAGAAATGTGATGCATTATCCAAGTATGTAAATGTGCTGCAGTGTGACAATTGAGATTGCAGTGATGGTGATATGCTTTTAGTTTCATAAACTCAGTTCATAGATGCATGAATTCTTGATTCAGGATGGTATTATCACATAACAACTAACATTGAGTGGTTTACTTCATACAAGCTATATAATTCTAGTTCAGTCTATTTAGGTGATGGTAGATGTTACAATATTTTATTGGAATTAGTGAAGTCAGAATTAAGATGTATGATGACACTGTTAGAACATTATGTGATGTCAGACATATCAGATTTGAAGAAAAATTTGATTTCCTTACACTTTACATTGAAATGATTCTATCCCTAAAACAGAGGAGGATAGGGAAACCATCAAAATTGTTAAGGGTGCATTCACTATGATGAAAAGAAAGTTAACTGCAGGGAATATCTACAAATTGTTGGGGAGTAAAGTTGTGGGTGAAGTTCATTATGTGAAGTCAGATAATGATAATACAAAACTGTGGCACATGCGTCTTGCTCGTATTAGTGAACGTAGGATTACTGAATTGCATAAAAGAAATCTGTTGCATGATGTTAAAAGCTGCAAGTTAGATTTGTTTGTGCTCCTGAAAAACAGACTAAAGAGTTTCATGACTGTAAAACACAACTACAATGATTCTTGATTATGTGCATTATGATTTATGGGGCTCTACCAGAGAATTGTCATTGGGAAGATCTCTATATTTTGTTACTTTTGTCAATAATTTTTCTAAAAAAAGTTTGGGTGTATTTCTTGAAACAAAAATTTAAAATTTTCTACAAATTCAAGTTGTGGAAGACTGAGGTGGAGAACTAAACTGGTAGAATGATCAAATTTTTTGGAGTTTGATAATGACGTAGAGTACACAGTTTCAAAAATTTTATCAAGAGTATGAGATTCAGAGATATTTTTTAGTTCGTAAGACACTATATCAAAATGACATTGCATAAAGGATGAATGAGTCTTTAATTGAAATGACAAGATACTTGAGACTGAATGCAGAGCTTCCTAAAAATTTCTTGGCAGAGGATGTGAATGTGATATTCTATCCCATCAATAGATTTATTCGGGCATCATTGGATGAAAAGGTTGTAGAAGAGGTATAAATAGACTATACAATTAAATTTGATCACTTTTGAATTTTTGGTGGTCCTGCTTACATGTATGTACCTGGAGATGAAAGATCAAAATTTGTTCTAAAATCCAAGAAGTGTATCTTTCGGGACTACAAGAAAGATGTCAAAGGATATAAGTTTTGAGATCCGATTGCATGGAAGATGGTGATTCATAGAGATGTCATTTTTAATGAACAATCCATATTGCAACATAATCAAGACGATGTGACATAGAATAGTTTCAATTCAAATACAGTGCAGATGAATTTAGAGCAGCATTCAACATCAACTGAGAGAGTTGAAAGCTCAAATCCAGCATTTGGTGATTCCATTACAGATGATTTGTGGAATTACAATCTTGCCAGAGATAGACAGACGCACAAGTATAAGACCTCAAAGTAGATTTGAGTTATGAAGACTTGATCTCTTGGACACTTTTTATCAGTAGAGATGATCCAACAACCTTTCAAGGAGCTATCACCAACCAGGAGAAAAAGAAAGAGAAATGTATTGGTGCAATGTTTGAGGAGATGAAGCATTTGCAGAAAAATCACACATGAGAGCTATTTTAGCTTCTCGAGGGAAATAAGACTACTGGGTGCAAATGAGTGTACAAAAGGCAAGCAACAGTATTAGAAAAGGAAGAGTAAAAGTTCAAGGCAGCAAATGATTTCTTCACAGCAGAAGGGAATAAATTATGATGAAATATTTTATCGTGTAGTCAAACATACTTCAATCAGGACAGTGCTTGCATTAGTAGTTATTTAGGATTTGCATCTAGAGCAGATGGATGTTAAAACTGTGTTCTTGTACGGTGATCTGGAGAAGTATAATTAGGGTCTATTTGGGGCAGCTGCAACTTATCCATAAGCAGCTTATTCTGATAATCTGCTGATGACCAGTTGATCCAAATAAGCTGACTGGTTGTTTGGTTTGTACGTTTGGAAAACAACTGATTCTTGATAAATGACAAATCTGCCCTTGTTCTGGATAAGTTGTTTAGTTATTTGATTTGTGTGTTTTGTAAATGATTGATTTGCAAATTTTTTTGTTAAATGAACTAAAATTGATATTGTTCTCCAAAAATATGAAATATCTACCCTTATAGTAGCAGTTGCTCCATAAAATTATTTTGATTAATATAACACCCTCACAACATTTTAGCAAAATAGAAGAATTGAAAGTTGCTCCATAAAATTATTTTGATTAATATAACACCTCACAACATTTTAGCAAAATAGAAGAATTGAAGTTCTAGAAAACTTCCCTAACAAAATAATTGTCATTCCATGGGGCCAAACATATATATGCATTTACTCAACTCAATTAAACAATAGGTATTGTAATTTCAACAAAGCAACTTCAGAAGAACCTAATCAAATTTCAGCAAAATTGAAGTTGCCAAATTTAAAACAATTCAGATATTCAGGGAAAAAAATATTCAATGAACCGAAAGATTAACAACAGTGAAAGAACAAAAGAAGAAGGAAGAAGAAAGAAGAAATCGAGGAAGAAGAAGAAGGAGAAGCCCGATGGGCCACCTAGAGGCTCAATCGGCCATACCCGAGCCACAGAGGTAGGAGGAGCTCGTGCAGCATTTTTCTGCAATTGAGGGATCGAGTAGCCCTACCTCAGCGAAGAAGAGAAGGAAGGAGAAGCATTCCTGTGCTAGATCTTCGACGGAGAGGAGTAGTGCGAGTTGTTTCCTACCCCTCATGTGACATGTAGGCTTCGACCGAGAGCTTGGGGAGGAAGAAGAAGTTACG